CTTCTTCTTCTTCTTCTTCTTCTTCTTCTCTTCTTCTTCTTCTTCTTCTTCTTCTTCTTCTTCTTCTTCTTCTTCTTCTTCTTCTTCTTCTTCTTCTTCTTCTTCTCTTCTTCTTCTTCTTCTTCTTCTTCTTCTTCTTCTTCTTCTTCTTCTTTCTTCTTCTTCTTCTTCTTCTTTTCTTTTCTTCTTCTTCTTCTTCTTCTTCTTCTTCTTCTTCTTCTTCTTCTTCTTCTTCTTCTTTCTTATTCTTCGTCTTCTTATTCTTCGTCTTCTTCTTCTTCGTCTTCTTCTTCTTCTTCTTCTTCTCTTCTTCTTCTTCTTCTTCTTCTTCTTCTTCTTCTTCTTCTTCTTCTTCTTCTTCTTCTTCTTCTTCTTCTTCTTCTTCTTCTTCTTCTTCTTCTTCTTCTTCTTCTTCTTCTTCTTCTTCTTCTTCTTCTCCTCCTCATCCACCTCCTCCTTCTTGTTCTCATTATTATTATTATTATTTGTCTTTTTTTTAGTAATTTTATTATTATTATTATTATTATTATTATTATTATTATTATTATTATTATTATTATTATTATTATTATTATTATTATTATTATTAGTTTTCTTCTGCTACTTCTTCTACCTTCGCCATAAAAAAAAAAAAAGCGGCTGGCATGTCATATTTGGTTTTGTGCACCTTTCTGTCACAACACATTCCATTTCAGCAAGCTCCTACTTAGTTGCCTTTCACTATATACCCTTCATGTCAACAACTAGTCTACATCCCCGCCCACTCCCCCACTCCCCACTCCCCCACTCTCCCACTCCCCCACTCTCCCACTCCCATGGGAACTCACAGGAGAAGAAAAATATTTAAAACAGGCTTTCACAGAATTTCTGTCTAATCTACTAAATCCTAAGGATTTATGAGCCCAGGCTATGAACAGAAAACACATTTATAATTAATCCCGCTTGCAAATAAATGGAAAACAAATGTGGAAAATAAATAACAATTATATTACACTAACTAACGAAAAAAAGTAATAAAAGTGCTGAATTCCGTCAAGCGATTTCAAAGTTCATGTTTTAATAATATTAGTCAGTATCTATATAAAAAGCAAATGGGAGATTTATTGAGGAAACGAGCTTACAATAACATTGGCAAAAAGAGCTCTTTGCAAGATGGAAACGATTCTACTGCTGTCTTAGTAACTGTCTGTGGCGGTTAAAAACCGCAGTTCGTAATTTGAGGATACTTAGTCAGGTTCATCTGCAGACGATCTGGCAGCAAATCTGTTGCGGTGATTTCCATTATGGTATGAAGCGCCGGCCGTTCACGAACAATGGCAAACTACTGAACTTATAACTGTTTTAGTAAAACCCTAAAAATCTGTAGGGATTAGTTGTGATGGCCTACAAAGGATATATGACTAACCATTTACAGCCATTTTAAATAAGTACTAAAGACAGTCAATCTATAAATGTACTATGTAGAGCCAGTCTATATATGTACTGTGTAGAGCCAAACTATATATGTACTATGTAGAGCCAATCTATATATGTACTATGTAGAGACAATCTATATATGTACTATGTAGAGACAATCTATATATGTACTATGTAGAGACAATCTATATATGTACTATGTAGAGACAATCTATATATGTACTATGTAGAGACAATCTATAAATGTACTATGTAGAGACAATCTATATATGTACTATGTAGAGACAATCTATATATGTACTATGTAGAGACAATCTATATATGTACTATGTAGAGACAATATATATATATATGTACTATGCAGAGACAATCTATATATGTACTATGTAGAGACAATCTATATATGTACTATGTAGAGACAATCTATATATGTACTATGTAGAGACAATCTATATATGTACTATGTAGAGACAATCTATATATGTACTATGTAGAGACAATCTATATATATATACTACGTAGAGACAATCTATATATGTACTGTGTAGAGACAATCTATATATATACTATGTAGAGACAATCTATATATGTACTATGTAGAGACAATCTATATATATACTATGTAGAGACAATCTATATATGTACTATGTAGAGACAATCTATATATATACTATGTAGAGACAATCTATATATGTACTATGTAGAGACAATCTATATATGTACTATGTAGAGACAATCTATATATGTACTATGTAGAGACAATCTATATATGTACTGTGTAGAGCCAAACTATATATGTACTATGTAGAGCCAATCTATATATGTACTATGTAGAGACAATCTATATATGTACTATGTAGAGACAATCTATATATGTACTACGTAGAGACAATCTATATATGTACTACGTAGAGACAATCTATATATGTACTATGCAGAGACAATCTATAAATATACTATGCAGAGACAATCTATATATGTACTATGTAGAGATAATCTATATATGTACTATGTAGAGCTAATCTATATATGTACTAGGTAGAGCCAATCTATATATGTACTATGTAGAGTCAATCTATATATGTACTAGGTAGAGACAATATATATATGTAGTATGTAGAGCCAATCTATATATATATACTTGGTAGAGACAATATATATATATATATGTAGTATGTAGAGCCAATCTATATATATATATATACTTGGTAGAGACAATATATATATGTACTATGTAGAGCCAATCTATATATATATATACTTGGTAGAGACAATATATATATGTAGTATGTAGAGCCAATCTATATATATATATAATTGGTAGAGACAATATATATATGTAGTATGTAGAGTCAATCTATATGTATACTAGGTAGAGACAATCTATATATGTAGTATGTAGAGCCAATCTATATGTGTGCTATGAAGAGCCAATCTATATGTGTACTAAAGAGAGCTAAACGATATATGTTGAATGAATAAATCAAGAATGGACATAATTTTACTCGGGGCATTCCCAAACGTGCTCTGTCCCCTTCTTCAGCAGCCAACGATGAGTCTACGTGCTAATAGTACCAGCTGCTACCTGATTAAAAGTCCGCATTTGTTTTCCCTTTAGTTTTGAATATCTCCCAGAACCTCTGCTCATCCTTGTAGAATTAGGCTTTCAGTGTATGGATTCCCTATCTGTGCTTTTGCACTGTCCATCTGATCCCATAGAGTCTTCTCCACATCAGCTTTATTCTATAGTAGCTCCCCCCCCCCCCCCCAGAGGAGGGGCCACGGCAAGTCCAACAGACTACTCGTTATCTCGTTATCTTCCATTTGTGTTGACTAAGGCATCGTTAGCAAAAGTCAAGATTCTCTTTATACCTCCTGTTTCTACTGACGCTATCCTCATGCCTGTGTCTGTATCGAAAAGCACTGGGGAAACGGCGGAACTCTGTGGGAGGCCGGGAGCGATACTACATGGTTCAGAGCTCCACGAGCCCAGGCGAAAGGCAGTTCATAGAGTACCGATGCAGTTTAACTAACAATTGAGGGACTGAAAAGTAAAACGTCATATCTAAGCCTCGTATGTGCATCTTCTAAATCCACTGCCGCCACCACTGTTCCTTGCCATAGTCTTGCCAAATTTAGACAGCAAAACAGAATACGGCAGGTGGTCACTAAATTGGGCAAGACTATGATAAGGAAGGCGCAGAAAGTTTTCAGATATGACAAGACATAATAGTTTTTTGGGGGGCCCTAGGAGAAGAGCACGGCCAGGTGCCACAAGGAGTAAATTCATTCAGCCTCTACGGTGGATCCAGACGTGGGGCAAGCATGGAAAGTAAAACGTGCAGAGGTAACAGGATGTTAGCGAGTACACAGGGAACAAAACCAGAATAATTCATGTGAGAAAAGGAAAAATTATAAGAACTATTGGAACAACGCCTATAACTGAATTCACACACACACACACACACACACACACACACACACACACACACACACACACACACAAAAATCTGAAATGGGTTGACCGTTTGAATTAATCCAATGATGCCAGCAACGAAAGCATACAAGATGAAAGAAGAAACACCAAGACGCAGCTACAACCAAGAAGAATATGGATTGAAGGAGCCACTGATACATTGAGACTACACACCATACCAGCATACGGGGCAAACTATCGTGCCCTAGCTCGGTAACCGATCATCTGCGACGCTTAGGAATATAAAGCAGGAAACTGACTAAGGTCCCTTTTCTACGCCTTTAGACGTATTGGGAATTTAGGGCTAGACCTAAATTTTTATAGATCAATTTGCACTTGGTGGGTGAGGTGGTCAGCATCACCCCGGCCGCCTTAACTTCCAAGGACTTAACCTGGTACCTACTTAAGCCTGGGTCGACCTGGGAGTCAAGGTCACTTCTGAAACAAAATGCAGGCTCTGTAAGGACCCAAACCAACGACCTTCCGATCCGCAGGCGGGCGTCTAGCAGCCAACACCACGGCGACTCCCAAGAAATTGACAAAACAAACTGTATTTCTAAATTATAATAGGTTGTTCAGTTTGACTATTAGAAAGTATGGTCTGTATGGTACACCTAAAAAAACCATCATAAGAGAGGTCTACACGTTTTATAAAACTAAACCGCTGGAGTGTACAAACAGACCAAATTGTATTTCAAGTTCAAGGGAATTAAAAACAATCCACGCTTCACTGATGTTTCAAATATATCTCTAACCCCCCAGTTATGGCCCCTGGTACTCCACAGGGGGTAATCATTCCCCCAGCCGACACGCGTAGTCATTCTGCTGAGAAACAACCGACCCGGCTGCATCGAGATACCAGCTAAGTGATTTTGTGTATCTGTGTAGTATTGTTTCATTTGTATGTGCTGATGAAGGCTCAATAGCCGCAACGTTCACGTTTTGTTTGTATTTGTTTTATTGTGAAGCTTGTTAATATACTTTCCGTTCGGTTTTATATCTTTTCCAAGTATATAAACCCTTTAACAACTGGCAAGCACCATGAATTAGTATGACTCTTACAGTATGACAGTGGTTTAAAATAGTAACACTGACAGTATGTACTTACCAGAAGATACAT